TACATAACATAATCCGAACGATATATTCAGAATAAGAACTTCAAAGTGTAAGGCAGGCAATCCTATCCAGAAAGCTTTTTCAAGGTTTCTCCTAACTTTTTGAGTATCATAGGAATTTGCACTGATCCATTACACACATCTTTTTGTCAAGGAATAAAACCGAGATCTTTCCAAAATAGGATAATTAAGAGCTATATGAGTTGCAATAAAACTGCTGGTGCACTTCCGATGAGAAACCGTCAGACAGTCCAAAATCTTCGAGATCTGATCATATCTTCAAGATATGATCATACATACCAATAGAGGTGACATTTGAAGCCTCTAATGCGAGAACAAACACCCAACCGAAGTTTACTATGAAACAAAGAGACATCATAAATAACATAACAATTAACAATCACAGTTCAGCATGCTCGTCGTCTGGCGTAGGCGCCGTGGTAGACGTAATGTTGACCTTTTCTTTTCTTAGCACCCTTTTCACTTCCTCATCGAGATCCCTCCATTCTGGGATAATCCGAATTGCAGATTCTAATTTGGGCTCCTTTGTCATGGGATTATTGCACTAAATTCAGAACAATGATGCAGTATATGGTTGAAAAAGGAGTGGAAGTCATGCAAACAAGATGTGCGACTTACCAAATCAATTGTTTTTGCTTTGCTCTTACTGGCATCATCGCACCATGTTTCACACCACAACCATTCTTGTGGAAGCGACTTGATCTTCACTTGATGAATCATGTTGTTAGGTAGATCCTGCAATTACAGACGAGGTATAATGACATCAATATCATGTTCCATAGCAAACCTGATCGAGATTGGATAAACTGTTAGGGTCACTGCTGAGACCTTGGTACTGCCCTCGAAGACGATCGCCAGCAGCTATTTGACGGAACTTTTGCAGGTCTATCACATAGAGAGCGCTGCAAGGAGGTTGTTGACACAGTTGCAAGAACAGCTAACCTAACCTAATGTGATAACGCCTTCCAGCTAGGTGATTTGCCCAATAGCCTTGTTTCCAGAATCGGAATCCATCCATTTCTTTGCGACTATCACAGAATGGGACATAGCTGAAATTTGCAAGCTGTCTTGAACACGAAGGATTTCTTCAAAGTTTTACAGAAAACATAACAGCGACCGCTCGCTTTATGACCTTCCTACTTATATTGGTAATACCTTTCTAATCAACTCACCCATACGGTGCTCCTCCTAGATCATACTCCATTAGTTCCATGAGATCTGCCCGAACAACTTGATCAGCATCAACAAATATAATTTTCTGTACATCAAGAGGGAA